GCTTGGATTACAGGGGAAATTGGAGGCTATGGTAGCAGTAGGAGAGTGAGGAGGCTGTGGCCCTGGAAAGGAGAGAAAGGAATGGAGAGCTCTCAGGAGGTAGAATGGATCAGCTTCTGTGAAGGACTGGTAGGGTGGCTGAAGAAAGAGGGAGGGGGTGGTGGGTGGTGCCTGGGTTCTGACTATTCACCTCTTGAATGTTTCCTTGTGTGTCTCAGATTGCACTCCTGCTGACCGTGGTATGCCCTGATGCCTGATGATGGGGTAGTGTCCTCAATGTACATTTTAACCAATTTCACTTATAAACTTACGCTAGTGGGGAGAATGGCCATGCACATTCATTTATTTTACAAATGAAGAAACTGAAGCACAGAGAAGGAAGGAATGATTAGTGCATGAAGTGGCATTTGAGATACTCATTATCTAAATCTGTTCCCACTCCTGTGGTAGATTGGTGAAAGGCAATAGATTTCTTTCTTCCCCGTATCCCCTCCATGCCCCTTTGTGATGTGACTTTGCTGTTCTTCCCAATCAGAGATGACATTTATTTCTCCACTCCTTGGAATCTGGGCTGTGCTTGTGACTTGATTTGGCCAATAGAATAAAGTACATGGGATGTTGTGCAATTTCTGAGGCTAGGCCTTAAGAGATTGCATCTTCTGCATTTACCCTCTTAGAAGGGTGCCCCGAGACCACCAGGGAGACTGGTCTAGGCTACTGGTGGATTAGAATTGGAGAAGAGCCATGGCAGCCAGCCCTCAGCCAGAACCAACTGCCAGACCCATGAGTGAGGCCATCTTAGACCTCCCGGTCCAGGTGACCTTCCAGCTGATGTCAAATAAAACCAGCAGACTAATCCATTCAGCCATCCACAGAATTATGAGAAACAATACATTATTGCTGTTTTAAGCCATGAATTTTGGAGAGTGGTTTGTTACACAACTAAAACAACCTCTGTGCTCCTGTTGTCAGTAAATAGCTTCCTTGTCTACCTGGTTGTTTATGCCAGTTCCCTCTCCCTCATATCTCACATTTAATCCTTCCTAAACACATATAAAATCTCCCTACTTTTCACTTTCCCCTAGTGCTAGGACATGAGTTCTGTTCCTCTTCATCTCTCACCTGGATTATCACAGCAATCTCTAATGGTGCTCCCTATTTATTGAGTGCTGTCTCCCTGCTCCCTACCTTTCCCATTCAATTTGTCATACCCACCATGATCAGAGCATTCTTTGCTATAGGCAGATGTAACCATGTTGCTCCACTGCTTAAAGCCTTTTGCTTGCAAGGTAAATTCCCAAATCTTTAACACGATTTATGAGGCCTTAAGATCATCTGGCCCCTGCCTCTTCTCAGTCCTGTCTTCCACCAATCCTCTCATTGAACCCTGTGTTTCTAGAGCTGCTTCACAGGTTCTGGTGACCTTCTGGCACCTGCGTAAGCTCCCTCATTATATGAGGCAACCTCTGAAGGGGTCAGATGAAAACACTTAACCTGTCAACACACCTAAGTTCCTATGCCGGTCATGAGAGACTCACACTGGGGTGTGGATTCGAACCTTGTAAAGATCTGAACATTCCAAATGATATCCACCCTTATGACACTACCTTTTCTAAGTGACTGATTCTCATTCAGTAAAAAGCATCAATTTTATATTTCATATAAAAACCAGGAGCTGGAGAAAGCTGATTACTCTGGCAATTAGAAAAGATTTAAGGAAATTTTTTTTGTAGGACTCTTCACCACAGTGGTGTTCACTGAGCAACCATAATTCTGGGGTCGAATAGAAAGAGTCCTAGATTTGGAATCAGACAGACTTGGTATCTGGTTCTGCCATTTACCAGATATATACCCTTGGCAAGTCACTCGAATTTTCTGAATTCTGTTTCCTCATTTATAAAAAGGGGATGACAATTCATACATTGCATGATTGTATTGAGGATTAAACCAGATAAAGATATGAATGAGCCCATCATATGTTAAGGCCTTAATGGTTATAGTTATATTTTTTAAAGCTTTTATTTGTTTATTTGAGAGACCGTGCATGAGCGGGGGAGGGGGGAGGGGCAAGGGGACAAGCAGACCCAGGACCCTGAGACCATGACCTGAGCCAAAGTCAGACACTTAACTGACTGAGCCACCTGGCACCCCTTAATGATAATAGTTATTAATCAATATGATCCAAGGCAAAAGGTAGACTTTTGGGGTAGAATAAGTCTTTCTTCCTGTTTTTATTTGGGCATTTAGATCTGAAAGTGAAGACAGTTAAATACAATTTGATTTGTTTTGTTCTTCTCTCTGGTGATAACCTGCTAGTTAATAGGGAGATAGCTATTGGGGGACATAACTGATACAGCTCAAGTGTCAGAAGTGGCCTCTCTGCCCCCTTAAGATCTAAATGCAATGGGCTTGAACTTCCATTTTCACATTTTACAATCCTTATAAGTTCTAAGCCTTCCTGGAAATTTTTGTAAATTCTGTGAGGGCTGTGCTCTCATAGTCTCTGCCCCTAGCCTCCATTTTCAACTCAGAAAAACAAAGCCCATTGCACAATTTCCCTACTCACTCATCCTCAATACTCCTCTCAGAAAGCATTCCTGAGTTTAAGGGCCTTTACTGAAGTCTCAAGAGTCACAGAAAGTGGTCACATCGTACATGTGACAACATATCCCATTTTATGCATCCTAGAGCTTAAACACTCTTTTGTCCACCTGCTATGGGAGGGTTTCTTCTGACCTTTTACCCATGTAGCACCTACCCTTACACTGATTTTCCTACTCATCTTCTTCCTTCCCCCCTTCAAGTTCTCTTTATTGCCTTTCCCTCCTACTTTGCCAAGTGAATTCTAAATTCTCCTCTGTTTTCTATCCAGAGCAATACAGTGTTCCTCCTTCTCTTCCCATCCTTATATATCCACACCCTTCAAGGCCCTGAGTAGGACAAAAGGGCCTTCTGTACATTAGGGTCTATCCTTCTTAGAAGGCGGTTGTGGCTAAAAATAGCATTTGTTTTTCTGTTATAATAACCACAGTGTTTCCTGTTTATTGAGTGCTTACTATGTGCCTGACACTGTATCAAGTGCTTTTCAGTAGCTATCTCATTTTCTTATTTGGTCTTCATAATGACCCTGGGAGGTAGCTCTCATTATTGCTATTTCTACAAATGAGGATGAGGTGTGTGTGTGTGTGTGTGTGTGTATTCAAAAAACTATGCAACTTGCATAAGATCACACAGCAAGCAACTGGTGGAACAAGGATTGAAAACCAGATCTAGCTGGCCCCAATTTTGTGTTCTTTCCATTTTACTACATGGCCTTCCAGGAGAAGGAGAAAGAGAAAGTAATCAGAAGACCTGAGGCTACATAAACACAACACCATCTGTTCTCATATTGTTTCACAACTTTAAAAGGACGGTTTTATATGTTATCTCGTTATTCCTGTGAAGAATGAATAGTCATTATCGTTACACCCATTTTGACATGAGTAAACCAATGGCCTTGTGGGAGACAGGGAGTGAGAGAACAGGTAGTATAGGATATTTGATTTTGGGATCACAAAGGCACTAGTTTGGGGTTAGTAAGAAGTTCAGGGTGTGACCATGGGAGCCAGTGGCCAAAGTGATATGAAGAGGAGACCAAGGACTGAGGGATCAGGAAATCACATGGCTACCGAAGTCAGGATGGCAGGACAGGGGCTAATGAGGCAATGCTGACTGCACCGCCTAGTTTTATGGCGTGTGGGGGGTGGGAAAGTGAGAAGCCTTCTTGCAGAGGGGCTACAAGAGGAGTCCTGGAAGAGGGTCAAGTTTCAACAAGAAAAGAAATAACCTGAAAACTCTCTGAAGAAGCAGAGGATGTAGGAGAGTTTATTGATAAAGGAACAGGGTTCTATAGGGCACAGTGGAAAGGTCTGCCAGGGAGGTGGGCAGTCGGAAGGTGAGTGAAGGGGAGAGGGATGGAGAAGCTCAGAAATGTATAAGGATGTGTCTGAGAGAGAAGTTAGACAACCAGAGGGACTGTCAGTTGGGCAGTTCCCCAGCTTGGGGAGACAAATTGCAGATAGGGTCATAATGGAACTTGGGGGAAAATGGTTTTTGTATCTGACTCAGACCTCTAAGATTTGAAATGGAGGAAGAGTGTGGGGAAGGGTGATGACTCTAAATCAAAGCTGGCAACTACCCCTATGACCTCAGGAAGACCTAAAGTGAAGTCCATGTCAGGATGGGAGGTCAAATTGTCTCCTGTACCTGCCTCCTCTGACAGAATTGGGACTTCCTAATGATTGGCAATAACAATTTCTCACTCCAGGCTACTGCTAGTAATGGGGAGCCATTGAAAGTTTTTATTTTGTTTTGTTTTAATAAGGTTGATGGTAGCGTGGTGACATTTAGGACAATCACTCAGGCTGCTGGTGTACAGGATGAATTGAAGAGTGTAGGTGGGGAGATCTATTAGAAGGCTGTTACATTAGTCCAGGCAAGAAGTGATGAGGTCTGAACAAGGGTGAGAGCCGTGGAGATGGAGAGGAAGGGCAGCGATAGGATATGTTAAGGAGGTGTTATTACCAGACTCATGGGATGTCGGGCATGAAGGAGTGCATAGAGTAAAGGACAATGCCCAGGTTTCTGACTTAGTTTCCTCTTGTAGTCAGCGGTCCAGGTTCTGCCTTTCTTCCTGGGCTTTTGTGAGCATGAAGCAATATGACAGGAGAGTGTTTTGGAAATGGCAAAGCTGGGTACCCATCATCATCTACATTATTATCAAAGCTCTCTGATCCACCATAGTAAGTTCAGTCTGTGGAATGAGATGTGACAATAAAGATAAATCACGGTAGTCACCCAGATACCGGCGAACTCAGTGTGGAGGGAGGGCGGGGGCCCAAGATACAACGAATTTCTACACCTGCGGGCAGCTGGAGCCCGGAGCGGAGCGAACACAGACTCCGCCCCTGGGCGGGGCGTGGGTGGGGCCTGGACGCGGCAGTAGCGGAGCCGAGCTGTAGCCAGAGCCTCAGCCCTAAGTAGCCGCGGTGGGCGCCAGACCCTACCCGCACCGACTCGCACCACCGTGCTCCGCGAACCCGGCTGCGCCTTCTGCCGCGTGCCGCCAGGTCTGCCGTCCCGCAGCTTTGCCAGGAGCGAGCCGCTCATAACGCACCCGGAGTCCCAGGTAAGGGGCGCGGCCCGGGCACCCCGCTTGGAGAGAATCTGGGACCCACCCCGGCTCGGGGCTCTGGCGACAGCGAGCGGGCGCTGAGGAGTGCGGGCAGCGGGAGGCGACACCGAGGATAAGGGGCTGAGAGAGGCCGCTGAGGAGGGGGCACCATGGCCGGGAGGGAGGCGCATAACCTGGGAAGGGGCGCTGAGGGGGTCTACCAGACCGCGAGGGCGGCGAGGGGTGCTCCGAGGGCAGGGGGCGGCGGGAGGTGGGAAAGCAGAAGTGGCCACTGGAGCGCAGTAGGGGCTCGCTGGGGGGAAACACGGGGCGTTGGGGGCGGGGAGATGTAAGGAGGGCCTGAGAGGGGCAGTGCGGGAAGGGGGTGCCAGGCAGCTGAGGGACGTGAAGCGGGCGCTGAGCGAGGGCACTGAGGACAGCGAGGGCAAGAGGGCGGCGTGGAGGGCAGTACCCGGGGTCCGCAGGGTCGTGGTGAGCTGGGGAGCAGTGAGGTGATGAGGGAAAGGGTCGCTGGGCAGAGGGGGGCGTTGGTCGGGGAGAGGGGAAGAGGGTGAGGGAATGTGAATGGAGAGCTGGGAGCGAAAAGGATGCGGAGCCCGAGGCCAGCTTGGCGCGGGCACAGGGGATAACCGTGAGTCGGGGCTGGGGGGTGGGGCTCGGAGGTGGGAAGCCTGCAAGAATGGGAAGGTGGGAGGCAAGGCTGGGTCTACCCAGACTGCAGAGGAAGGGGGCGGGGAGCTGGTGGAGGGACAGGGCAGTGGCCTTGGATATGGGCAGTGGGCGCCTGAGTTCTGTTAGGGGTGGGGGGCGGAGAGGCACTGGAATAGAGCAGGGGTCCGGCGGTTGGGGGTGGAGGAACTGTCTGGGAGCTTGGAGCGATTAGGGTAGTGGGTGTGCTGGGTTAGATTAAGGAGGAAGCCAGGTATGGGTTGTGTGAGGGTGGAAAGACAATGGGGCCGGTATGGAGTCCATGGGCACCCAGGTGCTAAACGTGTCTTAGCTACTCAGAAGGCTGAGGAGGGGGCGCAGGCACTGAACTCTGATACACCACAACCTGGGATCACAGACAAGAAGAGAATTTTGGACGGAAATAGTCATCCACTGGCTGCCTCTGTTCATTAGTCTAAACGTATGAAGGATTTTAGGGAGGGCAGGGTGGCAGCCTCTGGAAGCTAATAAAGGTGTGGAGGGGAGTGGGAGAAAGCCAGGGCCCTCCATCCCAACTTCCTGGAATTCAGATGGAAAGGGGTTGGGGACAGTAAAAGGAGTGTGTGTTTACAGGTGGATGCCCACCTGTTCTGTGCATAAAAACGGAGAAAGACCATGGAATACCATGAAAAGCCCTGGCTATGGTAGTGGGAAGTCCTGGCACTGTATTAGCCAGAGAAGACGTTTTGCCAGAAAGACGATGGGTAAGGGAAAGCTTTCTGGTCATGAAGGATTTAGCCAGCAGTGGAGGACAGTTGTGTTCCTATCAGAGGAAACACTATGGGAAAAGGCAAAACTCTAAAATGATCTCCAGTCCAATAAGTAAATCTCCAGTTTCTTAAGGAATATGATGTGAAGAGAGATACCAATAACCTATAGAGGATGTTTTAAAAGATTTTCCCCCTAAGCTCAGAACTCCTCACGGTTCCTCTCCATCTCCCCAGAGTACAGCACAGGGTGTGGTGCACAACAGATGCTCAGTGAATGTTGATTCAGTGAACAATTGGCCTGTGCTGGTGCTCCTGCCTCCAATTCACTCATCCCCCCACCCCATTGTTGTAAGAAGCAAATATGGTAACATGGGTGAAAAGAGCTTCATAAACTATAAAGCAGTGTACAAAAGAGAGAGGCCACTAATATTATGCAGGTGTGCCTACACTCTGTGCAAGACAGAATGCATCGAAAGCACTTAGTAGAGTTCCTGGCATTTAGTAGGTGTGCAATAAATGGTAGCTATTATGATACAGTTTCTGTGGCTCTAAGAGACTTGGGGAAATAGTGAGGAGGTGGGCTGGGCTAGGCTGGCTGTGCTGGGTTGGGGAATGTCTAAAGAAAGGTTGAATTAAAAATAGAGTATGGCTTTAGGGAGCAGTTTGCATATAATAGGGTGAGGTCCACATTTGCCCAACTCCCTTCCTATCCTCACTAAATAAATGTTCCCAATGAGAAGATGGAGTACATTTACTGAGCACCTGCTGTATGTCATATATTATCTAGATGCTTTACCAACATTGATTATAATTTTTCCAACAATGCTTGTTTTGCAAATGAGGAAACTGTGTCTTAGTTATGTAAAATTTCTTGGCCAAGGTCTCACAGCTAATAAATGACAGACCTGGAAACTGAATCTAGTTTGTTTGATTTGGAAGCCCAAGCTATTTCTACTACCTAGGATGACTTGGTAGAAGAAAACAGGAAGCAAACAGGAAAAAAAATTTTTTTAAGGGGTTTATAAGGCACTTTCCCATATATTGGTTTTTAATTCTTACAACAGTTTGCCAGGAAGTCTTTTGTTAACTCATTTTATAGATGAGAAAACTGATCTGCCTGAGGTTTCACAACTGCTGAGAGAGCCAGGGCTCAATCTAGGTCTCTAGGACTCAATCTTGTGCTATTTCTATCAAGAGAAGTTCAGGGCGCCTGGGTGGTTCAGTTGGTTAAGTGTCTGCCTTTGGCCCAAGTGATGATCCTGGGGTCCTGGAATTGAGTCCAGCCTTGTGCTCCCTGCTTAGCCTGCTTCTCCCTCTGTCCCTCTCCAAAACCTCCCCCCCCCCGCTTGTGCTCCCTCTCGCTCTCTCTCAAATAAATAAATAAAATCATAAAAAAAAAGTTCATTCATTCACTTGTTTACTACATGTAATGAGTTGATCTCTTACTAGATTTTAGGGCTCTTCTCCTACTCTCTCCCCTCTTTCTAGCTGGAATTAGCTTCTCCTTAGGTGCTTATTTCTTCTGCCTATCAGACTGAAAGCCTTATTTGTTTTTCATACCAATCCTCCGAGGGGCCATTTTCTTCTTTCCCCCAGCTTGGGACCAGAGATGACTTCCCAGATGGTCCCTGGGCTTTCATCTTTATGGCTTGTCACGGAGACAGTGAGCTACCTAGCTCTATCATTTATGTGACTGTCAGAAAAGACAGGGAAGATTTGATCGATGCTTATCTTACAAATGCGTTCTGCACTCACCACTGTGCAGTGACCTGTCTGGTCATATCTGCCTCAGGCGGCTGCCTGCTGGGATGCTTTTTGCCTCTCTTCCAAATGTCTGTGTAGCCCCTGCCACCTTCCTGAAGATTCCCTTAGAGGCTTCCATCTGAATGTGCCTTTCAATGGAACCTCTCTGCCCTCCGGTTCCACCTCTCCCCATTCTCACACCACCTACTGGGAAAACTACGCTGTGTGCACATAAACAGATGTTGACAGTACAGTATGGCAAGTTTTAGGAAAGAGCTGCACAGGGTGCTGGAGATGATTCTTTACTCACCCTAAAAGTGTTGAAGTTTTAAATTTCCCTAAGCCTAATCCAGTCTGGGAGTCATTAAATAACAGAAGGTCTAGTCATGATACTCCAGCTGATTTGCTATATGACCTTGGACAAATCACTTCTCTTTATGGAGCCTCAGTTTTTTGTTTTTTGTTTTTTAACCTGTGAAATGAAGGGAAGTGGATCAGATTAAGAACTGAAACTAGTTTTTACTCTTGCCTCACTCCCTGTGGTAGACCTAGCTCATAAGGGCAGGCACTTTCCCCGCTGATTGTCCATGAGGCCACCTGCATTTTTCTCAACACAGTGTGTGAAACACATTCATATGCATTCTCTTAACTTAAAATCCACAGCAGCTTTCGGAGGTAGGTAATATTATCACATCATAGATGAGAACATTGAGGTTCAGAGTTTAAATGGCTTTCCCAAGTTCATACATTGAATTATGAGAAAGCTGGGACCAGGAGCCAGGCTTTTTGTTATGGTGAAGCTACCACACTCCCAAATCCGTTCTTATTCCCAAAATCTAAGAGTGTAAACAGCTGCATCAGAAAAAAATGAAGACTAATGATATGACATTTACATCAATAGTCTGGCACATGGCAAATGCTCAATAAATGTTTATTGAAAGGAGTAACATGCCCTAAAGATTTGCTACAGGTCCAGTGTTGTCAGAGTGTAAGGATGGATAAAACTCAGATGGATCCAGAAGAGGAGGCAGACAGCTAATTGTAAAACAAGCTCCAATAATGTAGTCCAGATTAGGGAAAAAGCAGTTGAACAAGATTTGACTACAGAAGTGAATTAAAGGGGCCAGTGAAATAATATTTATTGCATACCTCTCATGGGCCAAGAAACCATGCTAGATTAATTACATATGGCAACTGCTCATTCTGTTTGTACCCCAACTCCGTGAAGTAGGTGGTATTTTTCTCTGAAGTAAAAATGCTGTGACTTAGAGAGGTGATATGACTTGCCCAAAAATTCAGCTGAGGACTAGAACAGGGATTTTGAACTTTCCTATAATGAAAGAGACTAGGTCTAGTCTCAACTGTTGGCTTTGAGGCTTGAGCAAATCCTTAATTTCTGGTCCTCAGTTTCTTGATTAAATGGGAATAATAATATTTGCCCATCTAATTTTATCTCCCAGGTTTAGAGGATTAAATGAGATAGAGGATGTGAAATGAGGTAAGGAGCCAATCTGTTTCAGTAAAGTTACTGAAAATTTATTTATTTATAATTGCTGTTATTTAACTTGGTTAAATAACTAAGTTATTTAACTTTAAATGACTGCTGGTTATTTAACCAGCAGTTCCATTTCTAGGGATCTTTCTTAAGGAGATAAATAGGAAACTGAGCAAGTATTTATGGAAAGACATGACCACTCTGATTTTTTTTTTTTAAGATTTTATTTATTTATTTGACACAGAGAGAGAAAGCACAAGTAGGCAGAGAGGCAGGAAGAGAGAGAGGGAGAAGCAGGCTCTCCACTGAGCAGGGAGCCAGATGTGGGGCTCGATCCCAGGACCCAGGGATCATGACCTGAGCTGAAGGCAGCCGCTTAACCGACTGAGCCACCCAGGCGCCCCAACACCACTCTGATTTAATTTATAATAATTAAAAATAGAAAAATAAAGATACAATATTAAAGAATTGGTCCTATGACACATCCATAGGATGGAATAGAATGTAGTCAATTGAAATGATATTTGTGAAGAGTTTTAAAAATCTCAGAAAAAATATTTATGGTATAATGTTAAGTGAAAAGAAGCAGGATACAAAACTAATGGAAAGTGTGATCTCAGCTATTAAAATATACATAGAAGATAATAGACATATAGATATAGATAAAAAGTATAAACAGACCTCTATGTTTATATATACAAAGACTAACCCTGAAGGATACATACATTGGTAACATATTTGCCTCTGGGGAGAGGAACAGAGGCTCGGAATCAGGGTTGAAAGCACTAACTTTACACTATAAACCTTTAGGTTACATATTACTTATTTTTTACGGAAAAAATTAAGAAAATAATGCCAGCTACAGATGGTGATAAGATAACGCTTGTAAACAGTAAAAGTTTGAATTATTTTCAATGTATGTATTACTTTTTAAATCAACAACTAATAAAATATAATTTAAAAATAGATGGTACATCTTCCACATGTCCAAGTATCCTGGGCATTTTCCACACCCACTAGTGAGTGTTGTCATGGGGCAGATTGGTATAGGAATGGGACTGAGGGTCTCAGATAAAGGCTTGAGAGCTGGGAGAAAAGAGAAAGAAGAACAGAGGCCACCGGAGGCTACTGGTGGCATATTAAATGATGTGGGAAACAAAGGCAGAAGAAAAATTATTTACTACCTACAGCCCATTGATAAGTCCTTGAAACAGGCAGAGTGCCATTCCTCAAGGGGCTTAACTGCCTCTAAGTCAATGTCGACACCTTGGTAAGGGCAAAAGGCCCACTGAACCCGACCCCTCCCCAGTCCTCTCTTGATGAGAGAGCAGAAGGTTGGCTGAAGACAAAGCACAAGCTGACACCCTGCAACCTCCCCCCACCCCCCCACTCCTGGGTGGGACAGTGTGAGATTCTTTCAGGAATCTCCCAACTATCAATGTTAATACCTTGCTAGAGGGGAAAACAACCTTAACTTGACAATGGCAAGGCCTCCGTTATCTTGTAGGTCCTCTTTAGCATATGAAAGTTCTTTTGAAACCTCCCTTTTCCTTACCTCCCCAACCCCATAATATATAATCAGCCACCCCTCATAACCCCGGTGCAGCAACTCTTTCTGCCCACCGGTCCTGTCCCCGTGCTTTAATAAAATCACTTTTTTGCACCAAAGACGTCTCAAGAATTCTTTCTTGGCCGTCGGCTTCAAAACCTAACGTCTTTCCTACATCATTAAAGGGCTGTTAATAATCCTACATATTTGACCTTTCTTCAAGAGAGCTTTAAACTTTCTACATTTGTCAGTTCCTTGTCCTTACAGCTCATCTGAGAGGCGTATAGAGCTAAATCCACCAGTCAAAATCTCTTTCTTTTCCTTTGAGGAACAAAAACAGGAATTTCTTTTTTTTTTTAATTAAAAATTTTTAAAATTTAAATTCAGTTAATTAGCCTATAATGTATTATCAGGTTCAGAGGTAGAGATCAGTGATTAATCAGTTGCATATAATACCCAGTGCTCCTTACATCACATGCCCTCCTTAATGTCCTTCATTCAGTTACCCCATTCCCCCACCCTCTCCCCTCCAGCAGCCCTCAGTTTGTTTCCTATTAAGAGTCTCTGGTTTGTCTCCCTCTCTGATTTCATCTTGTTTTATTTTTTTCCTCTCTTCCCCTTTGATCCTCTGTTTTGTTTCTTAAATTCCACATCTCAGCGAGATCATATGATAATTATCTTCTCTGACTGGCTTATTTTGCTTAGTATAACACCCTCTATTTCCATCCTCGTAGTTGCAAATGGCAAGATTTCATTTTTTGATGGCTGAGTAGTATTCCACTATGTATATATACCACATCTTTATCCATTCATGTCGATGGACATCTGGGCTCTTTCCATAGTTTGGCTATTGTGGACATTACTGCTATAAACACTGTGGTGCAGGTGTCCCTTCGGATCCCTACATTTGTATCTTTGGGGTAAATACCCAGTAGTGCAATTGCTGGGTTGTAGAATAGCTCTAATTTCAACTCTTTGAGGAAGCTCCATACTATTTTCCAGAGTGACTGCACCAGCTTGCATTCCCACCAACAGTGTAGGAGGGTTCCCCTTTCTCTGCAGCCCCGCCAACATCTGTCATTCCCTGACTTGTTAATTTTAGCCATTCTGACTGGTGTGAGGTGGTATCATTGTGATGAGTGATGTTGTGCATTTTTTCATGTATCTGTTGGCCATTTGTATGTCTTCTTTGGAGAAATGTCTGTTCATATCTTCTGCCCATTTCTTGATTGGATTATTTGTTCTTTGGGTGTTGAGTTTGATAAGTTCTTTATAGATTTTGGATACTAGCTCTTTATCTGATATGTCATTTGCAAATATCTGCTCCCATTCTGACTGTTGTCTTTTGGTTTTGTTGACTATTTCCTTCTAAAACAGGAATTTCTAAAGAGAGTGACACCCTGGACATTATCTCATGTGAGGGCTGTCCTCCCACCCTCTTCTGATCACTTAACACACCTGTCCAAGAACCCAGTGCTGAGCATAAGGAGAGATTGCAGGCAGGGAAGTAGGGCACCTGCTATTCCAATAGGACTGTGGGACTGAGTGCTGGATTATGGGGTTCAGATCCCAAGTGTTCTGGGAAAGGTGGCAGGTTTGAGAGAGCTGGGATCTCAGGGAAGGCCTGGCACATAAATAAATACTTGCTGAATGGATGAGTGAGCGAATAAATAAAGGATCGAGGCTTTAAGGGATTTGGAACAATAATGACTTATGTTCACAGCTGTGTGGGACTTACCAGTTTATTAAGGTCTTACTTATTGTTATCTCATTTGAGTCCTGTAACAGCCCTGTAAGGAAAGCAGGGCAGAAATCGTCCTTTCCATTTTCCAGATGATGAGATTGAGTCCCAGAGGGATGAGGTAACTTTTATTAATCCAGCACGCATTTACTGAGTGCTGATTATGTACTAGGACTTGCGCTAGAGGCTAGAGATGGAGAAATGAAGTACATTAGTCCCAGATGCTTGGTCTGAAGGAGGAGCTGGAATAGTAAACAGTTGTGAAATGATACCAGTGCTGTGAGCGGGGTGCCCGGGGGGCGTAGAGGCAGGAGGGCATGTGTACCTCTGCCAGGCACGGGGAAGGTGAGACTGCGTTTGGGTCTATAAGGATGAAGAGGAGTTTATTAGAAGAGTGTTGTGAACAGAAAGAATACATGTCTAAAGGGACAAAGCAAGAAATAATGTGGCATATTTAAAGTGTAATTTGGTATAAAAGTGGCACAGGTTGGTAGGGAGAAGGCTTAGGGGAGGATAAAGTTTAGAGAGTTTATTCTTTGGTTGGTTGGTTCTTTGTCAAGTTAAACAGTTCGGGCTTGATCTTTAGAGCCATGGGGAGCCATGAATGTTTTTGAAATGGGAATGATAGCCCTGTGCTGAGCCTTTCCTGGAATGTTCATGTGTTTACTGTTTTGGCTTTTTCTTTTCAAAACTCGGCTCAGGAGCTGCCTCCTGTGGGAGACTCTCCTTGACCATAATGCCTTCAAACTGGGGGTTAGATGTCCGATGTTTCTTGTGGGCTTCCTGGGCCAAGGCTTCCCTCCGTCTTATGACTTACCTACTGACTTGTTACCCCATGTTTACATGCTTTTTCACTCTAATCTGTGGCCACTCAGAGGTCATACACCATGTCTGATTCATATTTGTAGTCCCTATACCCAGCACAGGGCTTGACCCAGAGCAACATGCTCAGTAAATATTTGCAGAAGGAATGAGTGGGAGGAACCAGGTTCCACCCCAATCCTGAGACAACATTTGGAGCAGGTGCAGTACTGGGGTGATTCTGTGGTGTGTGTGTTTCTTCAGTGATGCTTGGGTGGAGAGTATGTGTGTGAAGGGTGGAGTGACCATTAAAGATTGGTGACCTGGAGGTGTGTTCCTGAGTGACCACAGGTGTCTCCTACAGATGGCTTCAGTGACTGATAGTAAAGCTGGAGTCAAAGATGCTTCCGACCAGAATTTTGACTACATGTTCAAACTGCTCATCATCGGCAACAGCAGCGTTGGCAAAACTTCCTTCCTCTTCCGCTATGCTGACGACACCTTTACCCCAGCATTCGTCAGCACTGTGGGCATTGACTTCAAGGTGAAGACAGTCTACCGCCATGAAAAACGAGTGAAGCTGCAGATCTGGGTGAGTCCTGGGCATCTCAGGGGGTGACAAGTCTGCTAGTATAAGGGCTGGGAGGTGGGTGCCAGTTTGGAACTTCTGGGTCTTATGACATCAAGCACCAGTGCTATTGAAGGTCTGGCCCCTCGACTGCCCCTTGCTGATTTTATAGAAGTTTCTCTCCTCTGGGGGCTCAGTTGCTTCTGCTGCTTAACCCCAAGAAGCTTTATCGTGCCCATACAAATGAGTGACCAAGAATCTGGGCTTTGGAGTTAGAAATTTGGATTCAACTTCCAGTTCTGCCACTTATTAATCATGGAATCTTGACTAAATTACTTAACCTGTCTAGGCTACCTTTTCCTCTTTGGGGATTATAATAGCATCTACATCATAGAGCTGTTGGTTCTTAGCATAGTTCCTGGAATGTAGTAAATGCACAGTAAATGTTAGCTCCTGTGTCCATAATCTATCACTGCATAACAAATCACTTCAAAACTTGATGGCTTAAAACAACAGTAGTTCATTATTACACAGTTTCTGTGGATCAAACATTTGGGAGTAGCTTGGTTTCTATCTTGTGGCCTCTTATGAGGTTGCAGCCAGATATTGGCTCGGGTTGCAGTCATCTGAAGGCTTGAGTAGGGCTGGAGGATCCCTTCCAAAGCTGCTTACTCATGTATATCAGGTATTGGCTGTTAGCAGGAGGCCTTAGTTCTTTCCCATGTGGTTCTCTCCTTGGAGTTGCTTAAGTATCTTCATGGCATCCCCCAGGTGGAGAAAGCCAAGAAACCAGAGAGAAAGTGGCAATGTCTCTTATTACTTAGCCTTAGAGTAGTCTGTTGGTCACTGATTCAGTGTAGGAGGAAAGTAAACAAGGGTATGAATCCTGGGAGGTGAGGATCATTGGGGACCATCATAGACGCTGGCCACCACAGCTATTATTATTGGTATTTACTACCAATTTATTAGTACAGTGGTACTACTACTAATAATAAGAGATATGTAGATCTCATATATATATATATACATATATATATAAGATGATATAGCAAAATGTAGATCATATACTTTTCTTTTTTTTTAAAGATTTTATTTATTTATTTGACAGAGAGAGAGAGATAACGAGAGCAGGAACACAAGCAGGGG